TATCCTTTTGGTGTTTGGAAATCTACAGTATATCAAGCTTGCGAGGTCATTATGAAGTTTCTGCTTGAATATTATCCGTTTTTCCAGGCAAATGAAATGGGCAATCGATTATTTAAAAAAATCAAGCAAAACAGATATGTGAATAGGAAATAAACACGAATCCCATAGAAATGGGATCAGGTGCCAAGGATCGAGAATACTTATTCATGCTTCAGGAATTTCAACATGCTTGTTGAAATTCCTGAAGCATGAATTTATATGTCATTAACTTGCCTTGGTTTAAAAACAAAGAAAGGTAGAAGGAAGTCAATCTAAAATGGTACTGGGTGATTGATGCAATGCCTATTCCTATCACAGCCCCGGAGCATTCTCATGAAGACAAGTTGAATAGTAACGGTTTACTTATTAATAATACAGGGCACATGTTTGCGCGATCACATTTATGTTTTCATAAATTAGAGCCATAAATATACTAGGTTTGCTAGGAAGGGTGCAAGATGCGCACGTTTTTGCAAATTCAAACTTATTTCAGAGGAGACTGGAGATATAGTTTGGATCCTTGTTTTCTGAGTTGAAAAAGCCATTCTTGGAAAGAATTGTGCTGGCACCACCCGGTGTATCCTTTAAAGACTTTAAAGACTCAAATTACTTTCAGTTGTCATTGGTGTACAAGGAATATGACCACAAAAAATCCAGTTTTTTATGTTTTGATTTCTAGCAACCATGTTTACTGATATTATATAGACAACACTACATTAACAACCAAAACAAAACCAAAAAAGGAGATTTATGCAATAAACAAAACGAAATACATACATAAGTATACTTGCTGCGTGTTCATACGACAAAATTTACACACATGAACTGATAATTTGCGACAACTTGTATGCAAAAGTTAATTTCCACCTAGTCCTGACTAGGTGTAGATTTACTCAACTGTGCAGAATTTACATGTGAGCAAATCAGTTCATACGACCGAAGTTGCACATGTGAGTGAATTTACATATGAGTAAAATATACTGAGGTATGCAAATCATGTCGTATGAATGGGGTATTATATCCTATTCATACGACACGATTTGCACACCGCAGTATATTTTTCACATATATAAATTTACATACATGTGCTATTTTTGCTATTTTTGTCGTATGAATTGATTTGCTCACAAGCAAATTCTGCACAGGTGAGTAAATTTGCAACTGGTCAGGACTAGATGCCAATTAACTTTTGCATACACGTTGTTGCAAATTATGTGTTCTCATGTATAAATTCTGTCGTATGAACATGCAGTAAATTTACTTGTCTTTAGTATTGTTTATTACTAAAGCATACACTGTAAATTTCCCAACACCAGAAATATTTTCAATCGTTCTGTTTCTCTGAAGATGCCAACCAGTAGACGGCAATAGCTACTTTTTCGTTACAACCAATTGCTCTTTTATAGTCTTTTGGGCTAACACATTTACCAATTAATAACAAAATTTAAAGATATTTTCCACCATCATTTCAGTTCAAAAATTCCTATATGAAATCTTTGTTCTGAATGGGAATTAATTTTGATTGATCAGTGGATCAGCTTTTTCTGTCTACTTTCATCATGAATAAGAAACTTTTAAAGGAATATATGACATATTTTATTTAAGTTCAGACTAATTAAGAATAAAAAAAAATCTTTCTATTTGTTTTGATACTTTATTTAATGAACATTCATATAAAGGACATTCTTCCTGAAAACTACATAATTTAGATCAATCGCGTTTCAATTACCAGAGATTTAAAGCATGATCTATTTATTTATCGACTCGGAATTTAAATATCAGACAAAGTTGTAAGTCAATTTAACAATAGAAACTTTGAAATATCTAAGTTTAAATTCTGAGAAAATTTGAACGTAAATAAGAAGTATTTCATGTATATCTACACTTAATATCGCATTTTTACTTTTTAGCTCAGATACACCATATATGTAACTCTGTAACATATACCCAAATAGTAAGAAAATACCATTTTCTACGAAAAATCCACAATTCTGAATCAGTCGATTTCTTATGTTAAATGACCATTTAAGGATTTACTTATGGTATACAAAACTCACCTGAACACATAGCAAATTAACTTTTACCTGATATGTGTGTAAATTTACACATGAAAAAATTTACACACATAAGATTCTCATCAGACCAGTTGTCGTAATTTTTCGTCGTATAATAGAGGATTAGATGTAATGCAAAATATTATTTAAATTTATATCATGAAATTATTTTTACAAGGAATATGAATATTTGCATTTTATATTTCTTCAACTTTTATTTATTTATTTATTTTTTTTTTTTTTTTTTTTTTGCAATCGATTAAAACTTCAATGTATACTCATTTACATGAACATTAGTCAAAAAACCTACAATACAAAGAGCTAAAAATGATCTGATACATGTATTGGTAACATACGAGAGACGTTCAATAAACAATGTCTTCGGTGCACGGAAAGAAACAAAAAAGACGCTATTCTATGATTAAGTCGTATGATTTAGTCTTAATGATTTAACTAAAATGATTTAATATAATTTGTAACACGTCGTTTGATTGGATAAAAGATTTTACCATTTTGTATAACATAACTTGCCTACCTCACAATGATTTACGTCAAAAAACATATTACTCCGCTTGTTTTTACTTTTAAAATTTAAGACATTCACTGGTGTGGAAATAATAGAGTTACGCGGTAAAGAATTAGAAAACACTGACAATCTAGTTCAAACTACTTCCAAAATTGTTTGCAAACAAGGTGTTAAGTGTTATAAATACGTTTTTTTTTATGAATGGGGAATACGCTACAAACCGATTATTAAATTAAAAAGTAGACCAATTTTGAGAAGCTTTGTCGACGCTAATTTTGACGTCACAATGTTGGTTAACCGTGTTTCCCTAGTAAGAAAACATGTTGCCTTAAAAATTGACTAACATGAATTTTATTTAATCAAATGGGACGAAACTTCACACTTCGACAAAAAATGTTTTTATTTTCGAAAATGTGTTGATCTATAATCTTGTTATGATAATATGACGATGAGAAACATTGTCTACGTATTTTTTAATGACCCTCGTACTTAGGTGCAAGAGAATTAAAAGACCAGATGTTTTTTTTACTCATCACAAATTTACAACTTTATATAGAAATAGTTAACTTTGTCTGAAAAATAGCAGGGACTACATTTTTATCTGAACACTGATTTTGGTGCATAGTTACCAAGATTCACATCTGACCAGTTGTAGTAATTTTCAGACATAATGTCAAAAAATATTACCCTAGCGTTTTTTTTTCTTACAGTACATGTATACACTGTAAAAAATGCGCTTAGAAAATAAACACTTCCGTTACGTGTTTTGACCTAAACATGTATAAGATTGTGTTTAACGGCTAAACACTTAGGTCTAAACGTGTGTTATATCTAAATGATGTTAAGATTTAACACATGTTTAGATATAAGTGTTTAGAAATTGAACACTTTTCTGTGAAGTGCAGAGTTATCTTCCCGGAAATGACGCATATAAATTCGAATGATAAATAGAGCGGTTATCGAAACAAAGAAAATCCCAACGTAAGCTAAAGAAGATGGCTTAAAGGAACTGAATGCTAATCAAAGTGACAATCATGAAGAGATTGTGAAATGCAATAAAAATGCAACATTACTACGATAAAAGGTATGTTTACTATTATTTTTATTTTACATAAATTAACCACGATGGGTAACGTAAACAGATATACGGTTACACATGTACATCACTACATGTAGTTGTAGATCAAGAATCCTTCGGTTATATTTTGCATTCCTGAAATCTAGAAAGGAGTACAATTTATAGAATGTCATAAATAATATCTATATCGGTATCAGTACTATATAATGGTTAAGTGAGGTTCAACAAAAGTAGCACAATAATAGCTATCAAACATGTGAAAAATTTCATACAACTCTAGCCAGCGAGGGGCATATTTTAATAGAATTTGAATTTCTTTCTTACAGGATATGATCCACATGGAACTTAAAAGCAAAAATACACGTATCAGAGGAACTGCTGCCTTGTCCAAGTCCACAATGACATGCCATCGTTCTAACATTTTTCTAGACTTTCTTAGACTTACTTAATTTCTAGAGGACACTGAATTTTGTGAAGTGTGCTGTTCGTTATAGTTTTGAACATCCCAAAAACATTCTTATATTATGGAAGTGGATTACTTACTGACGGTCACAGATGAAAACAAATTATGCGTGTGTTGCTCAGTGAAAGAATTGCTGGAAGTTAAACTTGATACAGACATGAGGAATAACTACTTGCTAAGATGATTAAAATTAAAACCAGCGTGTAAAAATATATATTTAAACATATATGTATATTTAAAATTCTTTATAATAAATCCATGTTTGAATGTTCATTGAATAAAATTTAAAATGTAAACAATTGCTATATTTTAAGTTTTCTTGCAGGAAGACAATGAAAACATCCAAGTGTTTAATTTGTAAACATGTATCATAATATGTTTTGTAAAGTGTTTAAAGTCTAAACATGTAAGTGTTTAGGTTCTAAACACTTTCCGTTACACGTAATGAAATTCAATGTGTTTAGAATTTCAATGCATCAAAAAAAGTGTGACAAGAATGTGCTTAGGAAAGTGTCTATCATCTAAACACATTTTTTACAGTGTATGTTTAAAAATTAAAATAATTGTTGTTGTTTTTATTCAACGGGCAAATCGTAAGAATCTTTTTAAAGAAAATTAACAAACCAAACCACCTCACATTTTACAAAGCACAGATACAAAATCCATTTTCGGCCTAAAAGACCTGGCAACAGAAGTATATAATCAAATATAGAAGAGGTTGAAACTTCATGATAAAGGATAGGAGAACATATTTAAAATGTCATATCCCTCATCTTTATCTGAGAATAAATAAAATTATCATAAACCGATAAAACAGGCCGATAAAGGTATAGATATCTTCCTCATGTGATTTTTGTTGCTCCTGAAAAGACAAGAGCCATTAAATTAATTGAAACAATTAAACATATACTAACAGAGGTATGCAAAACTCTCTCTCTCTCTCTCTCTCTCTCTCTCTCTCTCTCTCTCTCTCTCTCTTCACAAATCGTCCAACTCATTTTGATGTATCAATTTTGTTACAAATATTTCTAAACAAACCACATACGATTTTCTCTTTTCATTTGTCATGAAAACTTTCACCATCAGCAACTAATATTGTGTTAGTTTTATGTCATTTCTCAGACGTTTGGTGACATATTGTTTTTACTTTGTATCTTTTTTTAAAATCCTCTGACGCAAGACTCTTTTATTCTTCACAGGACTGCATTTATTATTATTCTTATCTACTAGAATACAAATTTTGTACAAACATTTTCAATCTTAATGCTGTTGAACGTGTGAAATATCTTTCTCATTCGAAGCCTCAAAATTTATCTCCAGTCGAAAGTTATTGCTCATTTATCATAATTAAACGTACTTGGACACAGATTTTAAGTTAATATTTTCTGTATGAAATCGCGAATTATATATTTTAATAGCATTTCACACAAAAATTTATCAAAAATCTTATTTCATTTTGAAGTTATTAAAACTTCAATTTTTTGGCGGGTTTGATTGACACATCCTTGCACTTTCACAAATTTTAACTTTATTCTTAATCCTTAGGAAAAGTGACAATCTTGTAGTGTAAGAAATATTTAAACTTTAATCCAGAAAAATAATTTTATTCAGAGTAGAAATGTTTGAAAGCAAAACTCCTTCACAAGGATCGTCATTCCGAGCTAAGTGTTGTGTACAGAGTTAAGCAAATCGATCACACCCGTCTTATATGTTAACAGTTTTTGTAAACAGGACAGGAGCTTTGTTATTGTTAATGTTTACGATTCACAGGGTTCATTCAATCGTAAAAGTCTGCTAACCACAAATGCACGGACTGATAATACATCGTGTGTTTGTTTTTCTTTCGAACGTGTCTACTCTGAATTTTCTGGATTATAGTATCAATATTTTCCATTTAAACACAACAAGATTGCCACTTTTCCTAAGTATTAAGAATAAAATTGAAATTTGTGAAAGAGCAAGGATGTGCCAATCAAACCCGCCAAAAATTAAAGTTTTAATTACTTTAAAATGAAATAAGATTTGTAATTAATTTTTGTGTGAAATGCTATTGAAATATATAAGTTCTAATATTATAGAGAAAATATTAACTTCAAATCTGTGTCTAAGTACCTTTAAGGTAAAAAAAAAAAAAGAAACGATGAAAGCTAGAGCACTGCGATGTTATACAATGATGAATGAAATTATACAATTCTGCATCAGCATCATTCTGTATCAGTGACTTTGCATTTTCTGGAATTATTAAATAGTAAACTGCTTTATTTGTGTGGAAATTTTTACGTTTAATGCTTCTGCTGTTGCAGTAAATCTACATATTTTTTCCGCTAATACCGCAACGTTCATTCCGGTACTACTTTTAGAAAGACATTTTATTGTTTATATTTATATACGTACAAATAATCATTTATGGTAGAAACTAGGTCGGAAAGTCTTTGTCACAAGATTTTCAAACTTTTCAAAATGATAAATTAGCACGTGCTTATCAATGAGTCAAAAGCACATGCCACATTTCCTTGTTATTGAATGTAGTGCAGCTTTTGAAACATGGGATGGTAAATACATACTGTGACTACACATTTTTAGTCATTTTTAGGGGTACTTGTCATGAAGAAAATATGAAAAATCTCAAAAATGCTTAATTAAACTTTGCCGGTCGTTGACTTTATTACAGACACTGAGACGTGCTACTACCCTAAAAAAAGCGTATGACTTTCGTGCGCATTCCGTTTCGTGCAAACCGTGTAGCGTTTCGTGTGAACCGTGCAGTGTTTCGTGTAAGCTCCAAGGCGTTTCTTGCAAACCGTATAGAGCGTGCGAGAAGCGTGTAGCGTGTGAGAAACGTGCGACTTTCGTGCAAGAATCGTGTAAGATTCATTCGGAAGTCATTTCATTTTAAAAATGGCTATCGATGGGTCAGGATGTCAAATTGTATTAGTATTTTGAATTAGTTATGCTTGTGATATTTTTTGAGTAAAAACGAAAAAAAAAAAATGGAACAAAAACAAAATTATACGGTAATGTAAGATATAAATTTATTTGTTTTCTTTTCCTAAAGAAAATGTGTTCAAATTAATCAACTATGTACAACAATTTTATGGTCATTGAATTCAAAATACTATCAACGCGATCGTGGCTTCTTAAATATTTTTTTTCTCAAAGAAAGAAAGGAATACCGGTATAATCTTTTTTTTTAATTTAAGGCAAAAATAATATTTATTGTATCAGGACTCCGCTCTTGTCTTTACACTTAGTACGGAAAGAAAGTTTTGAAATGATGTGTCATTTAATATCTTTTAATTCATAAAGTTTGTTACTCATTATTGTCAAATAAATGGATTATAATTTTAATTCACATGCCATGACGACCACATGTTTAGAAACGGGGGTTAAATTAAATTACTAGTACAGTCTTTCATTTTTTGTTGTAACTTTCAATCTAATGTTAGTTTTTATAAATGTTAAATTTTCGATTCTTTTTTAAAATCCTTTGTTAAATGTGTGCGCAGATACACCCCTTAAAGAGATATTGGAATCTTCTTTCCGTTTTTTAACTGTGATCAAGGTCATTTACAACAGCGATCACGGGCTCCGCGTACATGACAACTCAAAACCTGTTTTGCTATATGTACATGTTGAGTTCACGGCTTAATGACACCTGAAAATTACGACTGGGTTTTATTTTTTGGAAATAAAATGGTTCTATAATTATTTATCGGGTACAACTTATATATCAGCGGATTTCATCTTTTATTTTTAAATCCGAATTTCTAGCCGTAAACAGTAAAATAAACAGAACTGATTTGGTAGTCTTTTCATGAATATCATATAAGAAATTTTGGGGAATAAATCATGAATAATTGTATATTATTTGTTTTATAAATCAAGTACATTTTATTTCATCTAAGAAAGTTCAGTTTTCTTGTAATATACCTGAGTGCCGTGTGAAGATCGATCTACCGCGGTACATTGTGTGTAATGTTTAGTCAAATGCCGCAACTATTAATTAATGTACACATATACATACGTTTAGTCGGGTTTTGAAATGAAGGATTTTACAGTATGATAGGTATACTTGTGTTATTTGATAAGCTTCATTTAACAAGAAAAAGAGAATAAAATAGATTAAGACATCACATTTAACACCCCCCCCCCACTTCCTTCACCGGTTTCCCTCCTATAGAATAATGCTTACGTAAGATTAAAAAAAATCTTTATAAAATATATCAATAATCGTTAGTAGAGTATATAGGCAAATTTTATCATTAAATCAAAATCAATAAAAATAATCCGCCTACGGAAATCAAACACAATATGTAATCGATATATTTAAAATCAATGGGTTTATATTCCTGCAGTAAGAAATCGAATGTTTGTTTAATTTATTAAATTATACTCGTAAAAATATTTAAATGCAAGAGATACATTGTAATGGATGACTTATATATAAAAATTATATTTTATCAAACAGTCATTCATGATATCTGCATTTCGTTTTTAAACATTTGGATTAATAAATAAATACGAAATGACAATTATTCATTAAGCAATTACAACTGTCAGAGTATTAAATATTTCTATCGGTTTTTATGTTACTGGTGTACTTATATTTGATTTAAACAGCTGCTAAATGTGGCTTTGTGAAAGATTTCCATTTAATTAATGATAAAACCGTAATAATGTCCGAGATATTCCAAGTAGAAAATCCAAACCGAGGCAAAACGTGCGAGAATCGTGTACAAAGCGTGTGAGAAACGTGTACAAAGCGTTTCGTGCAGCCTTTCGTGTAAACCGTGCAGCCTTTCGTGAAAAGCGTTTCGTGTAAACCGAGACTCTAGACACATTTATCAAGATATTAGTGATACTCTTTAGTTGGTAACTGAAGATTTAATTTTGAGGATTTTTGCATTCCCTTAAAGTGGTTGCATATCATTCACAAGTTATCACAAAGTTATTTCATTACACTAGAATGGATTTTTCCACTTTAGAACCAAATCTATACTTAATGAAAAGTGCCGACAGGTTTCTCTAAGTTGAAAAATGTATTAAGTCTTTTAGTGTTATAATTAAAATTATAATTTGATTATTGGTATTAGGAATATTTAAGCATGATTTATTATGGATTTCATGAATTTCAAAGACCTTTACTAATCTACTTCAATTTCTATAGAAGCTGTAAAGTGCGGGAAAAAGTAACATAAAATTGATTATGACGTCATAATGGTTCTAGCACAAGCTAAACACATGATATCATACGACGTAGGTTCTACGTTAAAGTAGAATTTAGCAGATGAAATATTGTATTAAGATGTTTCAAGCTACAAAGTATAAAAAAGGATTCATTCCTATAATTAGGAAATCAAATAGATCAATACTTTTTTCAATGTTTCAACGAGTAAAAATTATTACACATTTTGTTCAAAATAACAAATGGCAACTAATAAAATCAGTCAAATCCCGTCTTTTTCATTTGTGCTGATTTTATAAAACTTAAAAGAGAACAGGCCTAGGGTCCGCTCTGTGTACATCTCGATACAATAAAGAACTTTATTTTCCTTCCGGTTTTTCTTTATTTGTTATTTTGATGCTGTATTGATGAAAGGCTTTCAATTTCAAAATTTAAATGTAACACAAGAGAATAATGTTCTCGTAGTTCTTTTATTCTTGATTTGAATGAGTATTCAAAAATTATGATGATTATGATGACAGTGGTCCTAAAATAAACAATACACAATTGAAAGTGATAGTCATAAAAAAATTAATGTAAACAAGTACAATATCACCTCTTGACATTTCAATATTAGGAAAAAGTAATGTTCACTTCATTAAGAAATATTTATGACAGTCAGACTTCTATTACACTTTATCATACAGCATATAATCTAAGCAAGAAATAAATATGCAGTATATATGATAAGTAA